GTCTCTTTCAATGAGGAAAAATTATTATGAGATTATTTTTCTTAATATAAAGGATATTAATACACAGCATTTCTGATAATGACAAGGAGAGGCATGCCCAGTCTCCCCAGCCTTGACCTGAATTAATTTTTTGCTGATTGCTCAGCTGGCCAATGGTTCCCACAGTCATACCTCATCACAAGTGATGCCAAGGGCTGGCCCTCTCTGCTGGCATTAATGGAACAAACTGGGCACCTGCTTGTGATAATGAGGAGGGAGCAGGACCCTCCACGTGGCTGTGCTGAAGGAATGGAGAAGATCTTCAGCCATGGCATCTCATGAAAAATTCTGGCTGAATGGCTGCTCCCCTGGGTAAGAGGCCAAGCAATGATGGGAATACTTGTGAGCGCCAGGGAGGACTGGGCAAGCAGGGAAAGCACCTAGCTGAAAAAGGATCTTGGCACATTAGGAAAAGTACAACCCCAAGGCACTGGAAAGGGAAAAAAGCCTGAGTCTGCCCAGGAGGCAGGGAGGAAGTGAGACGTGGTCCTTGTGATCCTCAGCCTTGCAGCTGAGCAATCTGTCCCAGCCCGGACACAGCACAAGGAATTACAGCGATTTAGCACCCAGATTGCTCCAGGTGAATTGTTATACAGATGTAGAGAACTTGTCAGCATCTTTATGTAGCAGATGCCAGTTTAAAGGGCTGTCCACTGGCATCCTTACATGGGGCACACTGGAACTCTCTGAGAATTCCTGCTGACAGCTCAGGCTGAGGCACCAAATGCAAACTTTACTGGGGGATGCCACAGCCACTGGAAGTGTAGAGGGGGATGTCCCACCTGCATGGGTCCAGCACCCTCCTTCTGTCCTGTGACCTCTGGGGCTCTGCTGCAGAGCCAGAAAGGAGGGTTCAGGATAGGGAGGGAAGGCAGTAGGAATCTGACTTGTTAAACCTCAGGTTTTAAAGCTCCTTGGATTCAGGGCTGTTGCCTGGTCAAGATGTGGATGGAGCATAGTTTAAGGCTATTTGGGTGGAGAAAGTCCCCTAGGGGTCCTGTCCCCCTACCGACAATGATCAGTGCTTTTCTGGGAGGATCCTGGACCTCTGTGCAGTGTTGCTACTGCTCAGGGACATACATAGCTCGTCCTTGTCCTTCTTCTGCAGACACCTGATGAATGGGAAGAACACTGGGTTTGGGAGAGGGCACCCATGTCCCATCCTGTCTCCTCCTCCTCGGAAAGGGATGTACAGCGGGGGACAGATGGATGAACAGGTGTCAGGGGTTGTGGGGACCTGCACCATGGCTCTGTCCCTGCCCTGAGCATCTCCTTCTCCACAGGGCTGGAGCAGGGATCCTGGCTCTGCTGGTGTCCCAACACAGAGTGACATGGGTGTGGAGACGGTCCCATTCCCTTGATGACTGCCAGTGGTGCCTCCACCAGTCCTGACCCTAAGGCACGTGGCCCTGCAGGTGCTACAGGAGAAGTGCCTGGATGTGCTGGAGAAGTGCTGGAATACCAGAGACAGGGCTGCCCTTCTCAGTCCAGGCACAGATTTGCTCTTTCAGGGCTGCAATGGACAGTCCCTGGGTGCAAAGGATAACAACCACTCAGATTAGAGCTACTGAGTTAATGAGGAGGCTGTGGCTTCCCTACTAAATGCACAGTGACCTGGGTGCTGCTAAAAGGGAGTAAACCCAGGCTTCCTTCCCTCCTTTGCTGATCTGTCTGTCTGAGCTGCGCTCTCCTCTCTCTGCTGCATCTATAAATATCCTCCCCATCTCAGTGACAGCCAGGTGCAGGACCATGGCTGAGGGACGTGGCAAGAGACTCATCAAGGAGCAGAGGCAGCAGCACTCAGCAAGAAGGGGGAGGCAGCTGGGCTCAGGCCAGAGATAGCTGAATGGGAGCCTGGGGAGGGCTGCAGGTGAGGAGAGGGACAGGGATCCTGGTGTGAAGCCCTCCATGCTTCTGTTTCCTGGTCTGTTTGGGGTTCCTGGGATGCCTTGTGACCACCCCTTGTGGCTGCACATGGATCCTAGTGTGGAAGGGGTCTGCATTCCCAGACAGGAGCATCCCAGAAGTGTTTGACCCTGTACTAGCTCCAACACCTCTGACAGTGCCCAGCCTCGATGCGCATGCATTGATTATGCACTCAAGGCACATCCTGACCACAAAACCAAGTGTCCAGGGAAACCAGAATGTCTGCCCCTACCCCCGCAGCCCTTCTGTGCCCAGTGTGTGAGCACTGTGTTGTGGTACAGAGTTCACACTGACCCCGCTTCCTGTGCACCCACCACTGCATGCAGGCATCCCATTACACACCATCCCCTCTCCCCAGAGCTGACAGTGTATCTGAGAAGCCTCCCATTCCCTGGAAGGGATTTTGGGGCTTTTCTGGCATGGCTGTCTCGTGGCTCCTGCAAAGCTGCTTTACAGCCTGTAACAGTGCTCAGCCAGCACAGCTTCTCTGCAGCCCTGGAGCACAGCAAATCCAGAATCTGTGGGGACATGCAGTAGCTGGTAGCTCTTGGCACCTTTGCAAGACCCAGACACAGTCCTGTCACACATGGGGCTGGGATGGCATCAGGGGACTAGAGAACCCATGTGGGTAGCTGGGATGTGTTGAAGATCTGCAGGGTTAGGGGCATGGCAGTGGGAGTGGAATCACTCAGCGCTGGAAGACCAAAGCTGGCTTCTGCCTCCCCAGAGCTTTTTCCAGAGTTTGGGACTGACATCACAGAATCATAGAATTGTTTGTGTTGGAGGGGACCTTAAAGACCATCTCATTCCACCCCATATCCAACAGACCATTGCTCCAAGCCCTACCCAGTCTGGCCTTGAACAGTCCCAGGGATGGGACAGCTTCCCTGGGCAACCTGTTCCAGGGTCTCAGCACCCACACAGGGAGGAATTTCTTCCCAATATCCCATCCATCCCTGCCCTGTATGAGTGTGAAGCCATTTCCCCTTATCTTGTCACTCCACCCTTTGTCCAAAGTTCATTTTCTGGAGCCCCTTTAGGCCCTGGAGGGGGCTCTAAGGATTCCCCAGAGCCTTCTCTTCTCCAGATGAACACGAGAGCTGGAGGTAGCTCTGCAGGGGGGTTTCACAAGAGCCAAACAGACGGTGGCAGTGTGAACATCATCCCTCTGGAATGCCTGGCTCTGCTTGGGCACTGTGGGACAGAGAGCTGAATGATCCAGCACTGAGCTGTGACAAGCCCTTTCAGCAAATGGAAATGTCTGGGTCAGAGTAGCAATGTGATAGCTGGCAGAATATTTGCTTTCCCATCAGCTGCAGGAGTGCAACTACTGTGGGATCATCTGGGGCTTCCTGGTGGCTTGCTGTGATTTTGGAGACCATCAGCCCTGACCCCTTTGCTCCAAGGTCCACTGCAAAGTCCACTGTGTAGCTGTACCTGTCACCTGACAGCACCGCTCGGCCTCTGCCATCTGCCTTGGGAATGTCTGGTGTCTTCTGAGCCACAGCTGTGTCCCTGCCTAAGCCGCCCTGCAAGCCCATCCCGTGATACTGCTGATGACAGGATCTCTCCAGCACTGTCGCTGGACTGACTGCTTCCCAGGCAGGCAGGGTAAAAGCCTGGAGGGACCCGAGGCTCTGTGCTGTTCCCAGGTCCTGGTGATGAGTGGTGCAGACACGTCCTTGCACATACAGTCCTCATCCATTCTGAATGAAGAATTGTTACTGCTGCGTGCTGGGAGTCGGGCAGGGAGCTCCTCTCCTCCGTGCAGAAAGCTGCACCATGGGGTGCCCCAGCATGGGGTCTAGCATCTCCAGGGAGCACACAAGGTACACAGAGTGGAATGGAGGGTGTGCAACACCCCCTCTCCTTCCCTGTCTCCACTGAGCAAGTCTGGGATGAGCTTTTTCCAAGGGACGGCCTGACAGACAACAGAAGAGATGCCTATCCTGCCCTCTGTGCCTTGCCCAGGGGTAGTTCCTGGGGCAGGTTAGAGCTGCAGTCACAATGCACCAGCCACGAGTGCATGAAGGAGCAAATAAGTCACTGCACGTGGTGTAGATGGGAGTCAGCATCTGTGGTTACCACGGGCAGGTATTAATGATTGTTCAGCATTTAGATGGGGAAGCAGTAGTGGCTGTAGGGGGTCTGTTGACAGATGTCGAGTGTTTAATGCTGAGCAAGGTACTCACCTGGCACGGCGATTCTGGTGGCTCCAAGCAAGAGGGATGCAGAGGCTGTGGGAAGGATGCTTTGTGTTTCCTAGGTAGCCCCAGGCCCCTGTCACAGGACGCCCTTGCCCAGTGCCCAGCCTTTCTGCCTTGGCACAATTGCTGTGTCTTCCCAAACTGCTTTGGAAAGGGTTGACCCTCTGTCAGGTGACCAAGGTGGCAGTAAACAAGGCGTTGTGAGCCCTGGCTGAGCTGTCCCCTGCTCCCATTGCCACAGGTCAGTTGTGAGCGGAGTGTCTCTCCCAGAACGATGTGGCATGGAAAGCATCGGGATGGGGGCGTCCTACCTGTCTCCTTCAGACATGCAAAGGGACCAGTTACAAGGGGTTTTCCTCTCCTTGCACAGCAGGAGGGACGGGTAACCCCGTCCCCTTCACACCTGACCCCGACCGAGTGCAGAGCTCCCCGCAGCGCTGCAAGTTTGTCTCTCGCCGCGGCCAGTGAGAGCAGCGGAGCGGGATGGGGAGCACAGGATGCAGCGGGGACTGCTGGAGCTTCCCGAGGGCGGGGGAGTGGGGGAAAGCGGGGAGTGGGAGTCCGAGTCCCGATGCTAGGTCTGGGTACAGCGAGCGCGTGTGGTGCGGAAAGGGGGGTTCGCTACAGAGCCCACCCAGCCCATTGGCTTGCGAGCGGTGACGGGCAGGCTGCTCCCTCCCTGCTCGCCCGCCCGTGTGGCTGCGAGCAATGTGCGCAAAGTGCCTTTGCATTAGCCGGCGAGTGCCGTAGCTCCGGGCAGAGGTAGCTCGCTCGCAGAGGTGCTGGGACAACCGAGGTGGCCCCGCTCCTGGTGGCCCCCGCCGGACCATGGCATGGGCACAGGGCGATCTGACATCCTCGCTCTCCATCGTCATAACCTTGGCTGCCTGCCTCTCGGCCACCACCAGCGAAGGTAGGAACCGGGGCGGCCCTGGAGTGACGGGGCAGTGTTAGGGACACCCGCGGGATCGCTGTGGCTCTTTGGATGTGTCCACATGAGCTTAGCCCTGCCGGGCTCTGCTTCTCTGTGCTCCCAGGGGAGTGCAGCTCCAGGTTCCTGCCTGCCTGAGTTTGCTAATCCTGGAGCTTTTGCACCAGAGGCAAAACTTCGGAGCTGGTCAGGAGAACCTGACTCTGCAGCAATGCCGGCAGCTCTGCCTCCCTCCTCTGCCCGGGCTCTGCTGCAGCATGCAGGGGTGGCTGCAGAGAGGACAGGGACACCGGCACCGGCTCAGCCATGGCGATCCCCATCACTGGAGCTGGCAGCAGCGCGGGGCCGTGCACGTTGGCCGAACACTGTGGGCTGTGATGGAGCGAGTGGGTGGGCACAGGAAGATCCGGAGGATGAGGGGAGCTGGAAAGGGCATTCAGGTGGGAAACTTCTCGTGAGAGAAAGGGCTGGAAACTTCTGAAGTAGGAAGCAGGGATACAGCTGAGGATCCTCTCCCGACATCTTGGTGTCAGCCACATCAGGCCTGCTCTATCCAGCCGGCCACTCTACCCAGCTGCCGACTGCCCTCATCCCCGGTCCTTGTCCGTGTCCCTACTCCAGTATCTCAGGGCCCCCTCGGTTTCGGCAGTGCTGCTCCTGCTCCTGCCACCCACCCGCTTGCCTGTCTCCCTCTGTGCTGGCAGCGGCGGCACGGCTGCTTCCCAGGTCTGCTGATCTTCATCGCCAGAGATCTGCTGTTCCCACTCCCGAGCATGTCCTTGGCACCGGCAGCAGCATCCTTCCTCCCTTCTGCTGTGCTTGAGAGCCACGGCCAGCACGGCACAGCCTCTGCAGCGAGCCCCAGGGCCGGTGTCCGTGTCCCATGGAGGCGGTGGCATCTCTCCCTTCTCCTGCCCCTGCATCTCTGCCATCCTTCCAGCATACTGAGGCCCAAGGGCTGCCACCCCTGCGCCTCGTGCACTTCACAGAACCCTGCTGGGTTGGGTCCTTGTGCTTACTGCCATCGTCCAATACCCACCAGCATTTTCCTCACTTTATTCCCAATTTCCAGCTATTTGCTGGTCCTAGCCCTGTTTTCTGCCCAATGCTTACTTCCTGGCCCTCTTCCTGCTCCTTTTCCCATATGCATTGCTGCCCATGCAGGGGGGTACATTGGGGTCTCACTGCTGGGGATGGGCTGTGAGGGTGCACAATGGGGCCCCAGCACCCCAACACTCCCAGCCCTTGCTTAGTCTTTATCCTGGGATGCAGCAGCTGCCCTTTGCCCCATGCCCTGGGCAGGGAGTGGTGCAGGATGCTGCCTGTGCAGCTCCAGGCTCTCAGTGCTGCAGCCCTGCAAAGCCAAACAGCCCTGCCTGGACCTGGCGCACCCTGGGCACTGACAAATGAGGCAAGGGCCTCCTTCCTGTACTCTATGGAAGAGATCGCTGGATGCTGAGTTGGGCTTTATGGTGCCTGCATGGATAGCCAGGCTCTGGACTGCTGTCTGCCTGTTATCAGCTGGGAGAGACCTGGCTTTCTCACAAGACTTGTTGGAAAAGAAAGCTATCCTCAATCACAGCCTTGGTCAGGAGGTTGCACAGGGCTGGGGATGCGCTGGGCTCTGGGGCAGACCAAGCAGGCTGGATCTCGATTAGACCAGACAGGTGGTACTGAATGGCATCAAGAAAAGGTGTGGGACCTGCAGAAAGCTAGTGGTGCTCCATCCACTGCCGCAATGCTGCTCGTGGCCCCGCGGATCCTGGGGCTCTGCTGTGCCCTGGCACGGGGCACTCAGTGCCAGCCGGGCCCCCAGCAGAGCAGTGGAACTGGGATGTGGCTGTGGGCTCTGCCAGTTCCCAGTGTCCCAGGTGCTGGGATGGGCTGGGAGCAGCGTCCACACTGAGATCGGCTGTGGTGCCAGTCGCTGAGTACCCTGGCATGGGATGGGACTGGAAATGTGGGAGATGCTGCAGAGCAGAGCCCAGCCTTGGTGCATGCCACACTCCAGTTGTGCCAGGCTTGGCTGCCCCATTCCCAGAGCATGTGGTGACTGTGGGCACGGTGTGAGGGTGTACCTGGCTGCCCATCACCTCTGCCTGCTCCCACCACCTCTCAGTGCCCTGCATTTCTGGCCATGCTCTTGAGCAAAGCCAGTGCTGGTTTGGGAACTGCAAGGTAGAAAATTACAACTACAAAGCAAATTTGAGGCCACGGTGTGCTACACTCTGCATGCATGTATTGGGAGGCAGTTGGTGTATAAAAACATGTATTAACCAAAAAAACAGATTCAACCCTATTTTTTTTCTTTTCAAGAGCTCACAGTGCCTTTATCTTTCCTGAAATATGTGTTCCAAGAAGTTTTAAGCTTATATTTTTTATTCCTTTCAGTCTTGTGTACAGGCGTGCCCGAGAAATAGGAGGAAAAGGGAATCGCCATTCCATGGGAAATCCCCCATTTCAGCACGGCAGCCATTGCGAAATGCATTGAAAGCCAAAACTCTGATTTTTTTTTTAAAAAGGGGTAAAAATTTGCAGGATGTGGAAGATTTTTAGCTGGAGCACTGAAAAAAGAATTGTCTGAAATTATTAAATTGCTTTAGAGCAGGGAGGTAGAAAAGTTATTTTCAATATATATGATATTTCAATATAAGATATTTCAATAATATGAAGTATGAGAGACTAAAAATATTTACACTATTGCAGACTGAGTTGCATAGGTGAAAATATTAAAGCGGGTATTTTATATTATAGCACAAATTGAAATTAAATAATAAAATATGAAATATCTTTGTTAAATTGAAAGAAAATCAGATGAGCAGAAATTATCACATTTGGCGCTTGGGTGGGGGGTAACAAAATTGTATTTTCTGTCAAAAAATGGCACTTCAAATGCTGTTGCAGGGGGTCTACTCCCTTCCAAGTGATGCCCCCAGCTCAGCTCTGCCCTCCGTCCATGAGACGGGTGACCTTCCTCCCCATCACAACATGGACCCCTTGGCCCGTGGCTGAGCTTGGAGGGCTCCATGTGGGACCTGGTGAAGCAGGGGAAGGGGATTTGGGGACATTTCCCCCAGCATTTTGGGGCACATGGGGCTGGCTGAGGCAAACAGCAGATGACGGGGATGGGGTGATGTACAGCGGAGGATGCTGAGCCAAGGAGGGGATGCTCGTCTTTTCCTTGTACCGCAGTGATGGGGTTTTGTTCCTCCACTCAACAAGGATGGGGTGCGGGAAAGCACCAGAATCCTTGGGAAAACCCAGCCGCTTGCTGCGCTGCTGAAACGGGGGCCACAGGAAGGGCTCATGGGGGTCTCTCCCGCTAATCTCTCATTGTAATCTCATTAATTGCCCCTCTGCTCAAACAGAAAAAAAGGTAAAAACTAATCTGCATGTTTATTCAATGCTTCTTTCCTACTTCTCTGCAGCAATGCCAAAGTCGGGGCTGCGGGAAAAGCAAGACATTGAAAGGGAGAGGAAATCGCCTTTTCCGTTTTAAAAAGGCTGTGGGGGTCTGTGTTCCTCTCTAAGGATAGGAAACAAGAGTGTTTAAGCTTATGGACTTTTGGTGATGGGGGATGGAGAAGCATTGGTTTAAAACAGGGAGCTGGTTTAGGCTACATTAGTGAAAAAAAATCTGGGGGTGTTTAATTTTTTGATTGCTCCCAAAATGCTGACATAAAGCAAATATTTGCATAATTTTAGGTAGGCTTACAGGGATACGTTTCTGGTGCCATCTTAATTTCCATCCCTCCTGTATTAATAGCTTATAAAACTTCTGGAAAATCAACCTCCAAAATTTGCAGAAAAATAACACACCTGTGCACAAAACAAACCTACTTTGGCAGGTTTTTTCATTCTCCTTGAATTCTTGTTTTCTGAAATTGCAAGGGGTTGTTTCCAGTGACAATAAATGAACACCCATTTTGGTGATGGTAGAAATGGATCTGATGAAGCCAAATTTAAGTACAACTGAAAACCTGATGAATTGCTTCGGGGAGGAAAGAATTACTTATTTTTTCGATTGCTGAAAGGTGGTTAGCAAAATATTTTACTCAAAAAAAATCTCAACAAACCAGCAGCGAACCCCAGCCCCCAGAGATGCTCAGGAAGGGTGGGAGCTCATCCCGCACATCCCGGCGGCAGTGCTGGGTCCCGGCAGCAGGACTTGGGGAGCATGGTTTTATGGAGACATCCCGCCACCTCCGCTCTTTGTTCTGGTCGGGTCCTGTGTTTTGCCTGTCCCTGCTGGCCTCACTGGCAGCCTTCGGTGCTGGCTTTATCTCCAGAGGCACATCCATTCATATGATAACTCTATTCATACCCTGACAGTTTTTGATAGTTCATTCTTCTAACCCAGCCTGTTTGCCTGGCCAACACTCAAAATGGTTCCTCTGTCACAGAGGCGATTAACCCCTTCAGCCTTACCAGTCCCAAGGAGAGCAGTCAGATAATGCACTTGTATTACCTTCAAAATGAAACAAACCCCCCGTCCTGCCCGTGTCGGTGCGTGATACTCGGTATCATAAACAGCTGTGTAAAGGATGTAACTCCTTAATGGATCACATCCAGGCACACCAGTAAAGCCTAATGAAGTGTGTTGGCCTAGGGATAGTGGCCAGAAAAGTATTTGCCCTTTATCTGAAAACATCGGCAAAGGCAGTGCTGCTTTTAATAATCCCTTCCAAGGGCTCATCAGCCCTAGCCTTTAAAAATCAGGCCTCTCTTTCCCTAATACAAATTTCCCTGGCTTCACCTTCCAGCTGTTTGTTCTTGTTAGGCTTTTCCTGCAGGATTAAAGAGCTCATATTTTTCGGCTGTGAAAGTGGTAAACTCAACCTGTGCACCTCGCAGCCCTTGTGGGCATGAGCAGATTGGGCTCTGCAGGTTCCCTTCTGTGATTTTTCTTTACCTCCAGCCCTGGTTGTCATAGTTGTGCCTATGGTATCTTCTGCTCTATGTCCAGTTTCTCATATTTAAAA